AGCTTTGGTATTTTATCTGGCAGGCAGTTCCTATGAAAAGCAGCTGTCCAAGCAGTGGGAGTGGTGCTCCTGGTGGTTTTTTCAGAAGGTCTATAATTTCTTGTTTCGTGTAAATTACAGAAATACAATACTCTCTTGGCTACAACCAAAGGCTCTAAGCAGTTTTTTTAGCCTTATAAATAGCCTTTTAGTATTCTCAGCTGATATGTCCTGTGTGACTTAATGATAGGATTTGTGATGCCCACTAGGAAGGTGTAAGGTTTTCTGTAATGCCACATTACAGAACATTAATGTTCTGTAGGCTAGCTACAGAACTGTTAGAAGAACACCTCAAAGTTATCAGTTTTACAGGTATGTTTTTAACCACCACCATCACCATTGTCAAGAAACTGGGCAGAGTCTCCATCTCTGCATGAAGAGATGTCTAACAGAAAGGGGTAAGCAGGTAGTCACAATACTATTAAAAAAAACCCCAAAGCACCCCACTAACCAAACACATAATAACAGAAAAGACTCAGCCAAAATATTTCAGATTTTGTGTAACTCAATAATAGAGAAAATGTTTCTTCAAATGTACTGAAAGCTGAAGCTTTTGGAGAAAAGAGTGGCTATTGAGTGCCTACAGAAGAGTCTGAGGTATTTTTTGTGTAGTTTTGGGTTGCAGATGCAAGTAAGAGAGAAATGAAAAGGTCAGGAGTTCTTCTCCAACTGTGGCAAATTATGTTCTTCATCTCTTCTTACAGGAACAGTACTTTCAGTCAGAAGCAAATTATGGGCACAGGTAAAATTCAGTCCAAGTCTTCTAAAGTTTAGTGGTTATTCAAGATTATCCATCCAGTTCATAGTGCATTTTATCTGAAAACACTGCATCTTGTAGATTAAAATGATCCATACGATCTGGCATATTCCGAGAAATGACGGACATAGTCAAGACCTAAAAGACTAATTCTCCCTCTCTCACCTGTACGTACGTAACATTTAACTCTGGCCTCCTTTGAAACATAAGAAAATACGACACCCTGTAACATTCAGTGCTTTAAGCATTGTTCAGATGTGCCGTTTGGTGACACTCTTCATGCTATACATGCAGAGTTCTGTAGACCCCTTTTGTTCTGCAAAAGGGGAATTTGATATTGCAACAAATGAAAAATGAGCTCTGTCTGGTTCCATATGGTACATTCTGGTCTTGTCTGAGACCTGGCATCAAGCACAGTCCATTTCTTTAGCTGAAATGGCCCTCCTGCTTGAAATCATGTATGGTGAGAAACTCAAAACCTAACAAGTTGCTGACCTTCATTAAAATTGTGTCATCATAAATTATGCACTGATACAGTTTCCATTTCAGTCTGACACATACCACCTGAGCAGTTTAGTACTGGAAATGAGTAGTGCACCATTGTATGACCACCCCATAGTTGATAAAAATGAATGATGTTCAGGGGTGGCTAACTTCTCCCAGTTCCCTTGTGAAGAAGGAGATTTTATTTTCATTCTGGTGTGGGGATTGATGACTTTCTGCTGCCACAGCAACAACTGATATTAAACTTCAGTTGAGATACTTTCAGTTGAGATTCCTGCAGCAAGAATAGTAGTTCTAAATAACATTGTGAGTGTAGCTGTTATGTTGTAAAAGATGGTTTTGTTTTGTTTTACTTTTTTTATTTTAAGGTGATGTCTCAAGTGAAGGTAACCACTAGAGAGCAGGTTACCTTGAATTCAAGTAATGTAATAATGCCTCTATGGTCAAAGAGCATGTATTCTGAACTTCAAATTTTTTCTAGAAAATAAAGTTAGTATTTTTTCTTAAAAACTCTTCAAATTAGCTCTCATTTCTCCAACCTGTAATAGCTTTTAACAGTTTTTACCTGTTACAATTAGATTTCATCTTTCTTGTATAGAATCCCATTTATAGTTAGAGTTGGAAACTGCTTGGCACTGTTTTAAAGCAAAATCTCCAGTCATTGGCAGGACATGGACTTAATTTTTTAACATGGTCCAGCGCTGTAATACTAAACCGTAGAACAGTCAGTGGTCCCACACTGAAGGTAACCTGCATCACTTGTAATGTAATCCCTGCTCATGCCTGGTTTGTGTTTGGAGGAAAAAGTTAGCATTTTTGTGGTGAGATGGGCTTTTTGTTATTAAAGGAGGTGGTTGTTTTGAAGCTGTTCAGAGGTTAGGAATGCTGGCAGTCATCTGGGGAGACTGGTTAGTGGGCTGAGCATGGATGAGGAGGTCACAGGCACAAAACAACCACTTCTTTTGTGCCAGTGTCTGCTGTTGGTTCAGCTCAAGGGAGGTGCTTCAGAAATTACTTATGTCTGTTAAGAGGGCCATCATACTTCTGTGACTGTGCTACTTTATCATCACAAACTTGCATCTTGTGAGAATTAACTCTCTAGGTTGTTAATTTAAGGGAAAGAAAACAGTTTTGTCAACAAATACTCAGAGATTAATTATTTGGTAAAGCTTTTGCAAGTTTGCCCTAAAGTAATTAAGTATTAATATACTAGCAGAGAGAGAGAAGGAGGTAACAGCTACCTGTGTGCTTCCAGGGGATAGATGGCTAACCAGGGCATGTGTTTCATTTTACCTGCACTGCAATGAACTGTACTGACCTGCTAATTTTCTGAGCCTTTAAGGAACATAGGTTTTGTTTCAAGCTTTTTTTGCCAGTACTCTTAGAGACAGTCTTAAATGCATAAACCCATGTGTAATTTTAAGTGGCATCTTAAACTGAAAATTTCTGATAAAGGTTCTCTTGGACCTTAAGGCACAGCAGTACTATTCTACAGCACTGTATTTCAAGTAAGGAAGAATTTGAATTCTAGATCTGAAGTGCCAAGTTGTTTTCATAGAACTGTCACAGAAATTTATCAGTGAATTGTAGGGGTGAGCTGGGCACAGTGTTGGAAACTGTGGTGATGAACAATATCTCTTGTGCCCCCACACTTTACAAGGAAAAATATTTGTTGTGAACCTTTGGAATCATCCATCAGAAGTAGCTGAATGTAGATGGTGATCCTGGTAAGAAGACAAATCATACCTGGCTTTGGCTGCAGTAATTGGCTACAGTACTCAAAAGAGTAGTCACTGCACTGACTGTTCACCAGGTGGAGTTAAGAAGGTGCTATCACAGTCACTGTTTTGGCTGTGAATACCCCTCCAGAAACCACTTGGGAGCTTCTTGTGTTTGGGTGATTTTAAGGACTTCCAATCCTGTGCCTCACTGGTCTAAAATAACACAACAGGGCCTGTGCAGCTGGTACAGCTCTGAACATCCTGGGAGGAGAGAGAAGAGGTGAATGTCAGGTTAAACACAACAGATTTGTGCAAAGAATATCTTCATTTCACAGAAACTTTTTCTTCAGGATGACCTTCCAGCTGCCTTGTGATGTCCTTAGGGTTACTATAGCTAGTGTAAATAAGTTATAGGAGAATGCAGAAATAATCTTTCAGAAGTTTTTAAATTTTTTTTTTCCAGCCCAAAGGGCTATGTAGGATCACTGTATAACTTAGACTGGAAGGGACCACCTCTGGAGTCCAGCTAATCTAACAACCTGCTCTGAGGTTCAGTTAGATCGGGTTGCTACTGACCACTTTTTTTTAGTGTTCTTAAATTAGAGTAACTTAATGTCACTTAATTTAAGTCAGTCAATAATACGTCTTGAAAGTGGGCTTGAAAATGAAACCTTGCAAAACATAAAATTGCAATTATAAGCTTGTTTTTACTAACACCCTTTTTCCCCTTCCAACTTTTATCAGGTAGAGGTATTGTCTTACTCTTTTAAACATTGCTACACAAGGTTAATTTGTCAGAGAAGCAATTTCCTTAGTGACAGTTCTGTAATTGTACTTTGTATGGTATTGCTCCTCTTCAACAGGAGAATAAACTGAAAGTCTGTTAATTTATCTGAAAAGTATGCTTAAACTCCTGGTGAAATAACTTTCCAGCTAGTGCATGGCTCATGTTTAAAATATGCACAGTATTTTTATTGTGAGATGCAGTGACACAATTTTGTACACTAACAACTTAATGATTTAAGTATTTTTTTTTATGCAAAGCATAACATGAACTTCTTATATGGAATAACTTGGTTTACTTGGATGAGTTAAAGGTGATCACTTTCCCCATGCCCTTGAGATAACTGCTACAGAGACTGAAATATTTAAACAATTCCTTAAACTGCAGACCGCAGAAAGGTATTTTCCTGTGAATCTTGCTCTCAAAGGCAGGAATGTGTGTGAATCCATGTCCACTCTGTGATCCCTAGCATACAGACTAAGCAGAGGAGTTTCCTTTCTGCCAGGCTGCTTGCTTACACTGTACCTTTTTTTTATCTGGCACTTTTTATTGCTGTCAAGTTCAGCTGATCTGAAGTAAAATACTCCAGAGTGAAAAGTGATGTACCAAGTGATGCACATTAACAAAGCTCCTTTAATAGAAAAGCCTAGGCTGAAAGCATACCTAACTACTCTCCTGCACTCTTGCTTTCATCTTAGGTACATCTTTGTACCTAAGGTTAAGGCAGTGTATTGGGTAGTGAAATACTCCCCAGTTTAGACTTTTAGGTTAGGAATGCATATATGCTCCTTGCCCACTAGAGTAAAATTGTGTAAAATACAATCTAGCTCTAAAAATACAGTCTCACATCCAAGATGTTGTATCAGGCTTGCAGCAAGAATTGCCTTCTGCACAGCTGACAACAAGTGCTGAGAATCAGAAGTCTCTTTTCTCCAAAACATGGAAGAAATATGGGGAGTCATTGTAAACAATTAATTCATTCTGAGTGTTGTGCTGGTGGACATAAAGTGAAACAAAGATTAGAGTAAATGAAAGAATTAATTTCATTTTTCCCATATTAGTATTATTTTTTAAGTATTATTATTATTATTATTTCCATAATACGATTAGTGCCTTCACTGAACCAAGTGGGGGAGGAAAATGCCCTGCAGGTTGAATTATTCTGTTTGATACATTGGTACTGTCTCTCTTTCAGATGAAGTGGACTACAGCAATTTTGGGACCAATACGCTGTCGAGGAAGAAGAAGGCTCTGGTGACACTGCGCAATGACAACCTCCGCCGGCGTCCTCACATCAACATTAGCATGCCTCATGATTTTAGACCAGTGTCTTCCATAATCGATGTGGACATTCTCCCTGAAACACACAGGAGAGTGAGGCTGTATCGACACGGGTGTGAGAAACCCTTGGGATTTTACATTCGTGATGGCACCAGTGTAAGGGTGACTCCTCACGGACTGGAAAAAGTACCTGGCATCTTCATCTCTCGTATGGTTCCTGGTGGCTTGGCAGAGAGCACGGGCTTGCTGGCTGTGAATGACGAAGTCCTGGAAGTCAATGGCATTGAAGTAGCAGGAAAGACTCTTGACCAAGTCACAGACATGATGATTGCCAACAGCCATAATCTCATTATCACAGTCAAGCCAGCAAACCAGAGGAACAATATTATTCGGAGCAGTAGGATGTCTGGTAGCTCTGGTCAGTCTACAGACAGCACTGCGAGTCACCATAGCTTGCCTACATCCCATGTTCTGCAGAACTTCCACCCTGATGAAATGGAGAGTGATGAAGAGGCTGACATTGTCATCGAGGGTGGTCTGGAGCCACAACACATTCCTAAACTGCACAGCCTTACTTCCAGTAGCCTCTCTCGAATCAATGGCAGCAGCCTTAGCCACAGACTTCAAAGGGACCTGGTGCTCAACAACAACTCTGGCCGAGAAAGCAACGGCAACATCCACAAATTACTCAGTTCCTTAAAAACTGATCCCCGACACAGTCTGGTTATCCCCAGAGGAGGTATTGAGGAGGATGGAACAGTCATTACACTTTAGTAGCAATTTCTGCAATTCTCCTTACAGTCTTAAGTGCCAATTGGGACAATCGACTTGCGTAACACGTGCACAAAACAGGGAGCTGATATTCTCACAGACCTCATGGGTGCAGAAAATTGTTGCTTTCTAGGAAACGTGGCATCTGGAGTTAGACATAAAATTGTTATGCACTGCAAAATTTGTCAGGAGAAAGCCAGAGTGCAAAACCTGGTTTATGTCCCGGCCCTGAAGTGAGAACACAAATTTGTTTTAGTTGGTATAAACGTAAGCAGTCTTACAGGCTACCCATGGCAGTGTTATATACTCGGGTTTGAATGCATGGGTAGATGTATTTATACATGCATGTATATGAATTAGATTTTAATAGTAACAGACATGTCTATTTGAAGTGGAACATTGTTTTCTTCTAACACCAGCTAAGGACAGAGTGCTTCTTAATAGCCATCCCGTCGTCTTCTGTTCCATACAGCCCTTCCGCCGACTTGTTTACACCGTCTTCTCAGCGTTATGTCTAATCCAGACGAGCTCTGTAAAAGCAGCCGTTTCCTATTCCGGTGGTAACAGCGCTCGGGAGACGCTGCAGACACATTTTCCAAAGGAAACGATGGAAATCTCTATCCGTATAAACCCGCGTGTTCCCCGCCATGGCCGTGGCTGCCGGGCCATGGGCCCCACCTGCCGGCCGGCGGGGGCAGCGCCGCGGCCGCCCTGTATTCTCTCACCATATTTATTAGTTAATACCTCCTTGTTTTGTTTGTTTGGCTTTTTTGGTTTGTTTCTTTTTTTGGTTTTTTCACCCCTCCCCGCATCATCTCTGTTTGTTCAGAATCATGGTTTGTGTGAGTTTTTAGGCATGCAAGCCTCAGAGCTGACACAGGTCCTTGCTGTACCTTTGGGGCAATCCACAAGGTCTTTCCTTGACAAGAGATTTCCCTGTGGAGAGGAGGGATGCTGACAGACTCTCAAGCCTAACTTAGAATAGTTCTGTTACCTTTGGACTCCTACAGTAATAAAGCTTTATGTCTGCACAGGACTTCTGGAAAGTTAAAATATACTGGATATTTTGGAAGGTCAGACACCTTTGCTGGGTGGCCAGGTGGCTAGTGAGTGACCAGTGACTGTTGAGTCAGTACCTGTCTGCTTCTGGAAACACCATGAGTTTTATCAAAGTGGTCTAATCTAAAATATTTTGTTATATCTTGATCAGTGTAAGGAACAAAATATAAATGTTTTTAAATGTATTTTTCTACTTTTAGCTTGTGTCATTTGCTCTTTGTTTTTAACTTTGTAGTACATTAAAGCTTTTTTTATATGGTGGAATAGACATTTCTTAAATATTTTATGAACACGAAAATTCAGGAGTCTTGGTTTGGAAAAATTACATTCCGTTTTGGAATCTGTAATGGCTGGAAAAAGGATGTGTGGACTAATTCATTGTTGCTAATTTAGAATACCTGTGGAACAACCAGTCTTCTGCTCATGGTAAAATATCTTTGGGACATTGAACTTAGTTTATTTCTTTTAGATTTGCTTTAAGAGATTATTTTAAAAGTCTTTCACTTACTCTAATTAAAACTTTTCTAGGTATCAAAGCAGCTATAGAGCTGTACGTATTTTTCACAGCACAGTAAGAATAGAACATTGATCCTGTTCGTCTTAAAACTGTGTTTGTACTTTACCAAAGGTTTTCATTTAAAAAAATAAAATCATCAGATTATTGGTGCAGTAAAAAAAATGAATTAGCTGGATATGCTTCAGTCAATCAGATCATCTTATCCAGAAAAAATTGTTACACCTTAAATAAGACTACTTTTATGAATAAGTGGATTTGTCTGGCTGAAGTTACTCATTTTACCTTAGTTAACTGATGAAAATGTGACCTTGTCTGCAATAAAATGTTCACTGTCTGTCTTCTACTCTGTATTTTTTCCCAGTGCCTCAAGCAATTTATGTGGAAGCATCTTCCCTCCCTATGAAAACAAAGTAGCCAGTTTGGGTGGCTCTTCAGCTATGCAACCATTTTAGTGCAGTGTTTTTTCTCATTGCTGCTTTTACTAAAGGTTCCTGTTATTCTAATTTCCATGGGCACCAAGTAGCTTCCTACCCTCCTCCTGCTGCAGACCTCCGGGCTTTGATGGGTAATTCTGGCTCCTTGGAAAAAGGCCAGGATACCTCTGAGGGCCGCACTGCACCCCTTTGCCCGGCGCCTGCTGGCTGTCACTGCCCATAGAAAGCGTTCTAGTACAATCTATCCAAACTTTTCCACCCCATTCATCGCAGGAGGGAGGAAGCATAAGTTGTTTCACACACATGTACAAACTACAAACTGAGAACAGCCAGCTGTCGATGTGGCCTTGGATCCAACACTTTATGAAGTAACTTTTAAGACTTGCAAACATTTTCTGCGGCATCATCGTGGGGAAAATAAACACACACAACCCAGCTTCTATTTTGAGTGCCCCACAGCCGTAAGTGAAGCTTTGTTGTAAATTGTCCACTCACAGTGAGCTTCCCGTGCCAGCTCAGGCCGTGATGGGAGAAATCTGCGTGGAAACGCGGCTCAGCCGCTCGGGTTTCACACGCCGGGGCCCCTTCGCATGTGGGATTAAATGCGGAACGGGGCTCTGAGGGTGGCTGAGGGAGCACCGGCACGCCAGCCCTCGCTAAAGGCTATCCTCCACAAACGCTCCCGCAGACGGAGCCATGTTCCTGTCCCAGCGCTCGGCAAGGGCTGCTCGGAAGCGGAGGAGGCTGTTTCCTCAGCCAGGGCCGGGCCGCTCCCTCTCCGCCCGCTCCTTGGGCCGGGCCAGTCCCGCTCCGCCCGCTCCCTGGGCCGGGCCGCTCCCGCCCCTCCTGCCGGGAGCGCGGCTGCGCCGGTCCGCCCGGTCATGTGAGGGGCGGCGCATCCCAGCGGGAGCGGGCCGTGGGATGGCGGCGGCTGCCGGTGCGGGCGAACGGGCAGGAGCTGAGCTGCCGGACGCCTGTCCCGGCGCGGACAGCGGGAACGTGTCCCAGAGCCAAAGCAGAGCCTCCGGCCTCGGGGAAGCGGAGGATGAGGACGCCTCGGAGGCGTCGCTCAGCGCCACCGCCGCCGCCTACTCCGCGTACCTGCTCGCTGACCGCAGCCTCTTCAGCGAGCAGGTGGGCGAGGGGCCGGGCCGGGGCTCCCGGACATCTCCCGGGCACAGGGAAGGGGTGTCATGGGAGCGCAGCCCTCTGGAGATGGACACGCTCCTGGGCTGGGGCTGTGCAGCACAGGACGTACCGGGGGTCGCGTCCCTTGCGCTGAACGAAGCCGAGAGAGAGGAGAAGCCGTGGGATTCCCGTGGGACTGGCTGTAGTCTGACCGGTGTCTATACTCGGTGGTCCGGTTTGTGAGGCTGGCCGGGGTTTTGTGAATGTGAGAGTGTGGGTGTGCGTGTGTGTGTGTTTTCAGCACTTCAAGTGACCTCTGTTTTGCAGATAGAAAGCTTAGACAAGAGTCTAGAAGACTTATTGACCAGAGTGGATGAATTCGTGGGAATGTTGGACATGGTTCGTATAACTTGCACGTGGTTGTGTTTTCAAACTCAGATTAAACACAGTTTAATCGGTGTTTGTAAGTAAGACTCAGAGAGAAAGAAGCCTTTAGTCTAGGTAACTTCCAGTATGAAAACATATTTAATAATTAGATGAGTTATTTTGGAATCAGGTAACTCATGGATGAAAACTACCAAGCTTTCATATCAGAGCAAAATGTGTCTATCCAGCTAGAATCATAGAATCAGATGGAACTTCTTAGGTTGGAAAAGACCTCTAAGATCATCAAAGCCAGCCATTAACCCAGCAGTGCCATATTTACCCCTAAACCATGTCCCAAAGTGCTACATCTTCTAAATACCTCCAGGGATGATGACTACACCACTTCCCAGGGCAACCTGCTTCAACGCTTGACAACCCTTTCAGTGAAGAAATTCTTCCTAACTGCATATTTGTGTAGTTGTATTTGTATTCTCGTCTGTGTATATGTACAGAATCCCATTTTGAATGGTGCAGTGACAGTTTTAAAAGAACAGTATGATATTCTGCTTATCCTTTAAAATACATAAAGACATCCTTTGTTGGTTTTATAATGAAAATACCTAATCAGTTGCCAAGCCACCAAGGCCAGATTTGTCTTTAGGGGACCCTCTTTTCAGAAAGGCAGCTTTGTTTCCACTTTTCTCATAGGGTTAGATGGGGAGACTGAATGGAAACTTCCTGTAAGCTGACATTGGTAGACAGGCTATCTTTTAAAGTGTAGCACATATGGTTTTCCTGCACAACTCTGCTGTAGGTTTGGAGGGTTTTTTTAACACCAGTAAACTAAGATTTTTGTGGCCTGACTTTTTTAACAAAGCTGAGATAGTACAGGTAGTAAAACTTAAGACAAAATTTTAGCTTAATATATTTAGTTCCTTAGTGTGTCTTAGAAAATGCTCCAATCCAGTTCAGAAGAGATGGTATATATACAATGTATATTATATATGTAGCCTATTTTTAATATAAGTATAAAGGTGAATATTAGTCTCTGCAAAATACATTTTCTTCAAAGTTACTTGGAAACTGTACTAAAAAGCTATAGTGTATTGGTTTTAATATAGTGTTTTTATACTAATTTATTCCAGTATTTTTAAACTCTAAATTTCATCTGTTCATTGGAGCACAGTTCTAGTCCCCAGAGTAAAATCTACTAAACATTTTGTTTCATTCATTGATTTTTGTATTATTTCTTTGCATTGTCTTTAGATTCGAAGTGATTCCTCTCAAGTTGTCAATGAAAGTATACCTCAAATTTACACAAAAGCTACAGAAATGAGGCAGATATATAGGAAGATTGACAAACTAGAGGTATGTATTTGCTGTCTTCTAGATATATTTTGTTTCCTGATGGAGGGAAAGATCAACGTCTGCATATTTGTGTGTGTGTGTGTGTGTGCAGACATGTGGAGTGAGCTCAGGTGAGTTGTTCTCTCCATGTCCATGCTGGGTTCAGTACTTCAGGGTTAATAAAGAGGACTACATTTATGAAGAATTTCTGGGGACTGTGGGAATTCCAGACATATATTTAAAAAAAAAATAAAAATTGTTCATTGACTGTTTGAAGCAAAGCAGTCTTTTGTGTTAGCTTTCAAATTTTCAGAAACAAATAGAATGAGAGCTCACTTGATCCCTAATAAAGCTTCAAAACCATTGTTCAGATCCTTGGTTTTTTTTTCAGTAGTAGAAAGACAGGTAGAAGTCTAGATTCTGAAATATCCAATGTAGTTATTTGAAAGGAAAATTGGAAAAGGAAGATGGTTTTATTAGATTTAACCTGGTTTTCAACCTTTTAAGTGTCTAAAGTATTTTTCAGCATTAAAATGAACTTGTAGGCAGAAGGGAAATAGAGCATGAAGTTTTTGACTTCTCATTTAAGCAATGGATCTTTCATCATCATCATTTTGCAATGCATAATCCTGTTTTATTTTGTTAGTGAAAATGTCATATTTATTTTCTTGTTTGTTTGGGGTTTTTTTCCACACTAGGCTTTTGTGAAAATGATTGGGAATAGCGTAGCTGGACTGGAAGAACGCGTCATAAAGGCAGAAACAGACCTTGGAGCTTTTCCAAGCACATTCAAGAAAATCTTGCACACAATCAGCATGCCATCCTTCCTTAATGTAAGTAAAGTTCTGCTGCCATGTGACTAGCTCAGTTGCTCTGCTTACTAGAGCAGATGATTTAAATAATAATATGTTTGTTACAAGTGTATCTGAATGTAGCTGTACTTGTTTTATATACTTTGTTAGGATTTTTACAGAGTTCTCAGGTGTCTTTAAGAAAAAAAAAAACAAGAGGAAACAACCAAACTTAAAAATTTAGAAAAATTTAATTTCTTACAAGGATTTGTGTAATGTTGCAAAACTGGCTGAGCACACAGAGAAATTAATGTGAAGGACACAAACAAGCACATAATGCACAAGCCTCAATACTAAAGCACCCTTGATCTCTGTTGGTATGCAAAGCAAGTAGGAAAAGCCCATTACAAGCAACTGCTAAAGGATTCTTCTGCATTGATAACATCACTGCACAAATGTTACCAAAAAAGAAAATGAAAGCTAATCTGCACAGTATTTTTAAAATAATGGTCATGTTTATATTCAATCCACACATTTTGATAATCATGTTACCACCTTGGTAAACTTTCTAAGGATGCAGTTTTCTCTGTCTTTCCTTGTGGACTGCTCCT